TAGTGCTAGGTCTGCCACACATGGATGTCGGACCAATTCATTCCACATCTCTACCCCTCCTACTAGTCTCCATGTCCTTCTTCTGCATACCCTTAATTCTAGACTTTGGTTCAGCTAGGCTTCAGGAGGTCCTCAATGATGGTTCTTCTATAGTTTAGTAGTAATTCTGATGTGGTGTAAGAGGATTTGAGTACCACATTTACCTATGCTGCCATCTTGACCAGAACCCTGGAGAATATTAATATTGCAAATTTCCCTTAAACATGAAGAGATTCTGACTAACAATGGCTGAGGTGAATCTCAGACATCTACACATTGAAAATTTCCATGGGTCTGAGACCTCTAAATTAACAAACTGTTACTGTTATTAAGCAAACAACATTAGATACTTCAAGCAGGTATTTGTTTTATAGGCTATAAGAAAAATAAGAAAAAATGGCAAAAAATGTATCAAACAATGGTCCTTGATTATGGAGTTAATTTATTACTGGGACCTAAAAACTGGAGAGACCACAACAGGACCACAGCTTGATAAATATTTGGTTTACTTAAAAGAACATGAGACTTGCATTAATCCTTTAAGAAGACAATCAGCAGTTGGAGCATGGGCCCATGGACTGAAGGGTCACAGGTTTGATTCTGGTCAAGGGCATGTACCTGGGTTGCAGGTTAGAAACCTGTCCCAGCTGGGGTCATTTGAAAGGCAAAGAATTGATATGTATCTATCACATCAATGTCTTTCCCTCTCTCTCTCCCTCCCTCCCTTCTACTCTCTCGAAAAAAAAAAAAAATCAATGGAAAAATATCCTCAGGTGAGGAAGAAAATCAGATGAGAAAGTGTTTATGGCTTGAGAATACTTTTAAGTTGTAAGGATTTAGCTCATGAACCCAGTCAGCACCAAAAACAATCTGATACAAGTCATCCGTTGCTAAGATACCAATCACTCTTGGAGCACTCTCCCCCCTGGAACTACTTTGGCTTTCTGAGAGGTTTGGAATAAATTTGGTTTGGGATTCACATAATCCAGTGATTCCCGGGTGACACCAAAACAAACATACAAACAAGAAACTATTAAATCATAATGTCTTGGTATATTTTAGAGATCTCCAGGTCATTCCATTTTGCAGCCAAGTTTGAGGACCATGGACATAAACTCTTCTCAACATTGATGGCCCAACCTAAAACCACAGCTATAAAAAAAGAGGTCATCCGCCCTGGCCAGTTTGGCTCAGTGGTTAGAGCGTCGGCCTGCGGTCCGGAGAGACCCGGGTTCGGTTCCCGCTAAGGGCACGTGCTTCGGTTGCAGTTTGTCCCCGGCCCTGGTTGGTCGTGCGGGTGGCAGCCACTCGATGTGTCCCTTCACGTCGATGTTTCTCTCTCTCTCTCCCTTCCTCTCTCTCCCTCCCACTCTATCTGTACAAAAAAAAAAAAAAAATGGAAAAATATCCTCGGGTGAGGATAAAAAAAAAAAAAAAGAGGTCATCCATCTTCATTGGTTGAGATTGCCACCTGCTCAGGCCCATCCTTCTGATCTCTCAGTGTACATTAAATCACTTTTTCCACCCCACACCCACCCACATATATGCTCCCACCTGCTGATCTATTCCTAGTCCGCAATTCTTAATTCACAACTTTGACCATGTCATTGCCTTGCTCAAAAATTTATAATGAAGCCCAGTGCCCCCCCACCCCACACCTCCATATAGGTACCACCTGGGAACTTGATCACAGATACAACTTCAGGGCCTATCCAGGTCTACTGACTTAGACTATATTTTAATAAGTCTCCCAGGGGACTTGTATAAGCATTTACGTTTATCTGTTTATTCAAAAAATATTTATTGAGTGACAACTATGCCACATACTATGCTGGGGTTAGAGGATCCAGCAGTGAAAACAACTAAATTGGTCCCCACATTCATAGACTTACAATCAGCAAGGACAATGTTAACAAGAATAGAAAAATAAGAGAGCGTCATGAAGGAGACATATGGGATGCTGTGGGATAATGTAGTTAGAGAGGTGGACGGGGGAGGGTCTAATGCAGTTTGGGAGATGTGAGTAGCATCCTGGGTAGAGATTGTTACAGCAGGTCCCTGGGATGCACAAATTGAGGGCTCAAGAAAGAGGGGCAGCTAAACACAGCACTAGCGTCATACACAGCAGGTGCAAAGGCTTAGAAGAACTACAGAAATGCTTGCCCTGTGCCTACTGCACACAAAGCATTGTTCTAACTGCTTTCCTTATATTTAGGTGCTTTACAGATGAGGAAACTGAGGCAGAGAAAGATGATGTGATGTATTTACAGTCACAGAGCAATTTTTGGTATTCAATTCTGGCCCTCTGGTTCCATCATTGATGTTCTCAGTTAACACAATCTACATCATTTGCACTCTAAAGAACATAATGCATTCAAGGAGCTGAAAAACACATACTATATATCCAGAGTTCAAGCGTGCTAGCTAATGTGCCTGTGTTCCTTTTTTATCATAAGGGGGAGAAAGCATCTCCATTTAGCAGCAGCTTCTTACAACTCAGACTTTTAAGAAATGTGTCTTAGTTACTGAATCAGAATTTCTGGCCATGGAGCTGAAACTATGCATTTTAATAATGCTTCCAAGTGATTCAAAGGCAATAAAAAATGAGAGGCATTTTGTCCAATAATCTCCTCCCTCTCATAGTCACCCATCCCCCGTCACACCAATTACCCATGGTGGTCAAAAGTAGGCTTACAAATGCTCTTAGGGAAAATTACATAATACAAGAATAAATAATAATACAAGAATAAACTTCATTTCAATACTGTAAACCTACTTTTGCCTACCCCTGTCCTGGTCCCAAGGTATAAGCTAAACATGAGGGTACATAGAATTGATGTGGGAAGCTAGATGAAATCTGAAAATTGGATCTTTGCTCCTTCAAGTCCCTTGGCTGCCAGGCTGTGGAAGGAATTATCTAGGCTTGAAAAACTGGAGGCAGAAAGAGACCACAGAGGTTTAGAACTATTTTCATTTGAATGCCAACATTCAAATAATTAGGTGAATTTCTGGAAATTGGAGGAAAATTCCATATTGCTGGAAGAGCAATCATTTCATATGCCCTGTGACGCCGCCATCCTTAGCCAGTGCTAGAAGACCCTCGGGCAGCGAGGGGTTTTCCTGACTGTAGCACATTCAACAGCAGTAGCTGAAGCAATCTCTGGCCACGAGGGCACACCGGCCCAGCAAAACTAATATACCTCCTGAGGGTCAGCGGACCTTGTCAGTTCCAGCACCAATAACTGGCTGCCAACTTTTTAATTCAGTCTTTTCCTTTCTTATAACCATTTGACAAAGGAATCATGCTAATCTTTGATGGAGAAGAAGCTAGAAGAAATAACTAAACCTCAATAAAATTCCATCGTCACAGAATATTTTATCTTTGTGAATGTATCCAGTATTTATCTTCAAGAGCTGAAATGTTTTTCGGGTTCATCACTATTAAAATTCCAAAAGCTGGTTTCCTAGGTGCTGCTTTTCAAATATAGTTTTCTGCCCCACTCTGTCTGGAAATGACATTCCCCTGACTGGTTGGAACAAGCCCTGTCCATTCACTTCTTTTACGTCAGAACTTCATTCAGAAAAATAAGCTTCGGAGAATTTCTAGAGGAGATTGTTCTTTCCACCCCTTGAAAGATCAGATAAATAGTTCACTGTATTTTTGAAGCTCTTTCGTATTCAATATATTTATTTCTGATTCTATCCAAAAGCAAAGTCATTGGCTGCTACTTTATTCCTGCTGTGACAAAGGAGTATTATGAAGAGGAAATGACACAGTTGTAAAAACTCTGTGCAAGGGCCCTACCCCCACAGCCTGAAACACTGGCGATGACGACCTTCAACTTTGTCAATCACTGTGAGCTGGTGTGAAGTGGCAGTCAGGTCTATGCCAATGTTGGCCATCTCATCATGTCACTCCCATGAAGCAGTGCGAGAGTCAAAGTGCATTTGGGAGATCCCAGATTCACAGGGCTGGAATTCTGCACAGAAAGGCATCCATGCTCTCAATCCCTGGGATGCATTCTCTTTTCGAAGACGACTTACTTCATTCTCCCTTCCTCCAGGAGGTAAGTAAAGCAACAGGGAGGGCCACTCCCTGCTCCAGAGGGCACAACTATCAAGAGAAGGCCAGTGGCCAAGACCCAATTTACTCTGGGTACTAAGGTTAATATTCTCTCCATCCTTCCTTTTCTTGGATGTGCCTTCTCTCACTGTGACAATGGTGGGATCTATAGGACCACAGCTAAGGTGTGAGACTAAGGAAGAGCAAATACATTATTAACTTCTGGTCTTTGCTTAAATGGAGCTGTGGGGCTAGTAGCAGTTATAACTCCATGTGGACTAGCTCATCAAGGAATAGTAAGTATGGGAGGAAAGATCTGTTCTAAGACAAGGGTCATTTTACCAAAGTGCTCCTGTGTGTTTATTAGGACTTGGTATTAAGTGTTATGGATCATAGCCCTCCAAGACACCCAGGGGCATAAAGCATAACCACTAAAAGTAAACAAGTAGAAATCTTATATTGCCAATTTCTATACCTGGTCAACACTTTTAAAAGTATCTGCCCTTGTTCTTCCACAGGTTTATATTTATCAGTGTTTGTGCTTAAGGCCCTATATTCTAATAAAAACACCTGGAGTTGGGCTCCAAGCAGACAGAGCAACACAAAAATTGTGATGGGGGTGATGTTGTATAAGGAGCCACATATGAATGGTCAGAATGCCAACAGGTTAACAATGTAGCCAGTGAAATTACGGCACATAACAACTGAATATGTCTTCCCTGCCTGGTTCTGATGGACCTGAAATCCAAGGCTTCCTCTACAAAACTTACAAACCTTGTTCCCAGGGTGGCATGCCATTGAAAAAGAAGGGTGCTCACATTCCAGTCTCTCACCTACTTAGCAGGGGGACCATCCGGTGGTTGGTAAATAAGTCGCTGAGAAAACAGTATCCGCCTACCTGATTTGCACAGCCTCGGGCAGGGCGTCCACTCACTGAACGCGGTCACAACACAGTCTTTTTTGCACGGGAGGTGACAAGGGCGCATTGTTTCTGGCCGAGTGGAATCTGGACATCTGTCAATGTGAAGAGACCATATCAATGCCGGGTGGGGAAAGTAAGTGCTTGAATACAGAACTGTAGGATTTCAGGACAGAAAACATCACCCTGTTGTTTTTTATAGAGGAGGAAAGACAGACGCAGGGAGCTGGGGCTACTTGTTTGAGGGCTCACAGCCAGAAACGGAGCAGAAGGAGACAGTCTCTCCAGTCCCTGGCACCGGAATACTTTCCACTAGACCAGGAAGAGAACAATCCCTGAAACTAACTAAAGACAAATGTCAAGAAGGCTTCTCCCCATCAGCATCAATTCAAACATCATTTGATTTATTTTTTATAATGAGCATATATTTTTTGAAAAGTGTTTTATTCAGGTTAATGCATCAAATCACTGATATCATTCAAAAGGAAGAGGAAACTGCAAGGCAATACATAGATAAATTGGGAAAAAAATCATTGAAGACCACTTAAATAGATTATATACTTTTGATTACTAACAGAATTTACAATAGTTCAATAATTGTCAGGTATTTCTTTAGAGCATATAGATTGATGAGTTGGAGTAAGCAAGATATGGCAGACTACAAATAACATATACACTAACTAGCATTAACAAGAGAAACACTTCAGCTCTGTTATTTTATTGGTAATTCACTTAATGCTCACACTTAGGAGGAAAAGTAATATAAATAGTCCATGCATCCATATCACTTAGAAGAACTAAAGTCACCGAATATGGCAAACAAGTCTTTGTTGTCTTTTTAAATAACTTCACAGGGCTCAAAAGCACATTTATTATCTTCTAAAACAGTGATATGCCAAGAAGAAAAACAGAGAAGAATCCCATTACATATATTTGCATTTTCAATTCTGTTCCCCATACATTTCTAATAAAGCATGAAGGCACACTATAAAGCCTAATAGTGTGAGCTTTGCTATTTGAGATCCATTGCTGAGTTGGGTTTTGACTACATTCTTTCATTTATTCCTAATAATAAAGTGAAAGCATTATAATCTTAATTTTCAGATGATAAAACTGAGGCGCTAAAATGATGAGCAACGGACCCAGAGCCACATGGGGCAGAGTGCCTGAAGAAAAGTAGAGAGAAGGCACCAGGTCTAGCAAGTTCAAAGACCTTCCAGTAGGAGAGAACAAAAAATGCAGCAGATAAAGTTAATAAGAAAAAAAAAACAAAAAGCTAATGAGAGCATGATGATTCAGATGAAAAGTCCACCAACCGTCTTACAAAGTTATGGACAAACAGAGAGATGGTCCGAATTGGAAACTCTAAGAAAAAGTAAGAGAAGAGATGATAATGGTTGGGGGAGAAGAGGAAAAAATATAGGTCATTTACGAAGGTAGGAGAATTGATTGATATTAGATGTCATCAGTTTATGTAGTTATCAAAATTACAACATCTTCTTAGTTTTAAATCTTTAGAAACAATACATAGACAAAACATGGGAGAGCGAACTTGGCTGTGGAACAGAATGCTCGCGATATGATTCCCGCCGTCACAATGCAAAGACACAGTGGGCAAAGGACAGGAGATAGAAGGGAGAGGCAGAAAGTGGGGGCTTGGATGTCCTCATCTCACAAAGCAGGGGGTCAGAGAGCCAATCTACATATAAAAGAAACAAGAAATAAGGTCAACAATGTGGGGAATCAGTAGAGAAACTAGTGTGAATGGGCTAAATTTATTATCATGAGAGGAACCAATGAATGGACATTTTAAATCGAGAAATGAAGAGATATATAAATGACATGTGAAAAATATATAATGTAGCATTGGAGTTAAACTTCGGAAAGGGAATATGGATAATAATATATACCTGGGCAGCTACTACTGACATAAAGACGCAGTAGATGGATAAGAAACTAATAAAGCAGTAGCCAGTGGCAGGGAAGGAGGCAAGGAAAGGGAACAGGGTGTGCTAAGGCTTCTTCTTGTTATTGTTATGTGTCTCCTGTATACTGCTAAGATTTGTGAACCTTGCGAAGGTTTACCCATTCAGAATAAAGAGAGGGTGGGGGGACTAAAACATAGCAACTATTAAGAAGTGGTTGTATTTGGGATGTGGGATACTAAGTGGAGGAGGTAGTTGGGGACCAGTTGTTTCCATCATCAGTTCTTTCCATCATCAACAAATAAAGTGTATTATTTTATTTCTATTATGGAGCATATCATATTTTGATGAAAATGGAAAATATATATACTCACAGATAAAGAACTGCTCAATTATTTCTTAGTGGGATTATTAGTAGTCATGCTTAACACACACATAAATCTGTTTATCAAATAGTTCAATTCAATGAACATAACAATAGAGACAAAAATACAGTATTCTTAGAGTGTCTTGATGAGGATGACTGTTATTTAAACAAGCAACTCTGGTAAGGAAACTTTATATCATAATTTAGTAGAGACAGCAAAATCACTAAAATCATCCCCAAGTCCTTTATCCATACTCTGAAATCTACTCAAATTAAATCGAACTATTGCTTCAAACTCCTCTCCAGCCTCTCCTGGTATATGACTGGAAATGAAAGTGCAACTTGAGAAAAGCCACTTCCTGTGTGCCCTGTGGGCAGGAGGGCCCACACTGACCCAGGCCGCACTCACTTATACACTCACACACAAAAGAGCTAGAAGTACTCATGCGCTAGCTTTAGACTTGCTGGAGAGGGTGGCTTACACCGCAGGGACTTTGCTCACTTTGGTTGGCAGTGGATATTCATTTTTCTAGAGCACTGACATTGCCTACTTTATTCCTACTTTATTAGCATCACTCACAATACGTACTACTGAGCCTAATGTCAGTTCTCCACAATACGGCCCCCTCTCCCTCTTCTTCCACTAAGTCCTTGAGAGAGAAATGGTACCATCCCCTCTATGGCAAAGGTCAAACTCAGGTTATATGGCTTTTATAGAGGCCGTGAACTGAGGGCTCTCCAGGAATGTGATTCTGTTCTGATGCTGTCTTTTTGTTCATTTCTTCTGTCAAAAAGGTTGGCCTTTTCTTCAGGGATTCACCTCCTCTTCCTTTCTATTTACATGTAGTCTACTGCTTCAAGGATCATCCCATTTTCTATATCCACGAATTTCCTCTAAGTCTTTACAACTATTCTCTTTGGCCATTAGCAACGTATGTGCCCTCCCCTTCTAAAAACTATAAGGTTTTCTTTTCTGTATTGTTGTATTGCCATTCATAAAAAAAAGGCTTTTGACATGTTTCAAGCTACTATTTTGTTGTGTGTGTGTGTGTGTGTGTGTGTGTGTGCAAAATACATATATTAACTTTGAATGCTTCGATGGTAGAACGCCACTGTAAGCTATATCTTAAAACACCAGATCCTAGTGCACTGAGAATATTAGCAATAGTAGGTGAATGTTTGAATCATATTCTATGGTATCACAGCCTGAAGACAAATAAATCTCTGAGAATATTAGACAACTTTATCTAGCCATTTCCAAAACAAAATGGAGTCTTTAAATGCAAGGAAACATGGGTTCACTTTTTAGTTAGCAATCAAAGTGTGACCCTGGCCTTTTGTCATAATTTATACTCCCAACTTTCTCAGACACTCTGGTCCTAGACCGGCGGTGCTCTTGATAAAAGGATGAAGGCATTTCATTTGAACGCATACATGGTGTGTCCCAAGAAATGTATACAGGGTTTGTATAGATTCTATTACATTTTGAAAATGAAGTGTATTTTAAGAAACACTGGCTTTATAATTATTCAAAGTTGTATATACATTTTTTGGGACACCCTATATTTTCCTGGACTTGCACTGGCGTATTCTATAATGATGGTCTCTTGGTCACCCTGTAGGCTAATCTACTCAGAAGCGCTGTGCTGAAAAGCAGTAAATGGAGCTGCAAAGACCTGTCCGTTCTCAGGTTGCTTCCCTAGTGAAGATGCAGACGCCAGTGCTCCCTCTTCTGGAGGAGCCCTCCTGCCCCAGACGGAGGCTCCATCCCACTCAGCTAAGGGGGCAAACCTGGCAACTTTTTAAACATTGAATGCTTCCCTGGAGCTTCATATTCCTATATCTCACAGAGTGCTCGGTGTGTTTACTGTAAAGGCAGAAAGTGACTTATCAGGACCTTTGGAAGTCCTGGAGTTGTGTGTTTTTAATCTTTACTATTATTTTCCTACATTGCAGCTGGGAAAAAGCATTAAATTGTGAAACAAACCAAACAAAACCCTAGAAATACACCAACAAGCTCTCACTTCTGTTTGAGGTGTGCCCTAGCTAGTTCTCATTTTCTGATATGATCAGTTCTATTACTCATACAATGGTAATGTTCTCATCTACACAACTGTATGGAAACCAAAGCATCGACCCAGGGAAGCCAGAACTTGTGAGGAATTCTGTGCATTCCAGTGCAGCGTGCTTAGAGAGAAAATATATTCTGTTAGCCCATCCATTCCATGGAGACATGCTTCGTTCCTTCTACCTGAAGGCCATTCTTGTTTAGGATATTTCTTCTCCTTTCTTTTTTCTCTACCCCACCCCCACCTCAAAGATTTCACAAATGGCAGGGGATCTTTTCCCACTGCAGTGGCTACCACGTGAAAATAAACACACACAATATATATATATATATATATATATATATATATATATATATATATATATATATATATTATAAGGGCAGAGAAAAGAGAATATTTTCTAGTATTGATAATCTTTAATTTTCATGATATGTTTCACTGGACAGTAGGCATTATTTTCTTAGCTCGATTAATCTCATTAACCTCAATAGTTTTAATTAACTTTAAATTCAGGCTCCTTATGTTTAGTGGAATTGTTTGGAGACATCCAGTAAGAATTAAAATTAGTTTAAGTCTCCAGCCTCATTAATAGTGCAAAAAGTAATTAGTAATATCTGTGTGTGTGTGTGTGTGTGTGTGTGTGTAAGATAAACATCTGTGCAATTCATTTTTCTGGGTTGGTAACTGAACAAAACTGGAGGTTAGTCACCAAATAATAATAGTTTGGTCTCACTTATGTAAATTTTCAAAGAAATGCATATTCATTTTTTAATTATTCCTTCAACTATAAACTTTTGCTCTTGTGATTTGGGAAGACCCAAGAATATCATGAAGTTAGCAGTTGAATAAGCTGATGTGCTCAGACTTTAATAAAAAGCTGTCTTCTCCTGGCTGGTGTAGCTCAGTGGTTGAGCATCGACCCATGCACCAAGAGGTTGCCGGTTTGATTCCCGGTCAGGGCACATGCCCAGGTTGTGGGCCCAATCCCCAGTGGAGAGCATACAGGAGTGGCCAGTCGATGTTCTCTCTCATCGATGTTTCTATCTCTCTCCCTCTCCCTTCCTCTCTCTCTAAAATTAATAAAGAAAAAAAAAAGGTTTAAAAAATCTGTAATTCAAAGTAATTATGAGGATAAAAGAGGAAATGGAGGACTATTTGGACATATAATCTGACTTTTCATGTCCAAATAGCCTTTAAAATGTAATGATAATTTATTTGGTAGATGTCAGTTTCAATTCCAATTCTCCTATGCTAAGAAATAAACAAACTGCCCTGGCCAGTTTGGCTCAGCAGTTGAAACGTCAGCCTGCGGACTAGAGAGTCCCAGGTTTGGTTCCTGCCAGGGGCACGTACAAAAATAAATAAATAAACAAACAAACCGCATTCCCATCAAGGGGATTTTTTCTGTTCCAATTAAGAACCAAGAAGTTTTGTCAAAGGTAGAAGATCAGACTTCAAGTGTGCTAAATTTTCTCATTACCATAAAGAACATAGTTGCATGTTACATAAAGTATATTCCTATATCTAGGACCTATTTATTTTATTTGTACATTAAAGCTCATATTTCATGCATCTTTTTTTAAAGCAGTTGAACATTTACATCATATAAATAACATTATCAAGGCTAATCCTTTCCAAAATAAAAAGAGTTCTCTTACATAATACCTTCTGAAGCCATTTAGGATAGTACCATAACCCCAGGAACCAAATAGTCACCTGGACCAGGTGATATGTAAACATAATTGTCCATGTCTGGCTATAACTCCCATTGACTCAGTCAGTGCACATGGTGTTAAGGATACCAGGCAAGCGAAAACACACAACATAATTTGATATTCCAGAAAACATCACAAGCAATGTAGCATCGGAATCTCAACAGAAATAACATTTATGAGGTAATAAGAGCAGAAGGTCTTAAGAAGGTTCTGTTCACTACTCTTCACGGCAGTCTCCTTTGCCAAAATGTACTATGGTAGATAAGATATATTTTTGAAGCAGAATAAACATCATCTACTCTCAGTTTTCTGCAATTCATATCCAACCCCTGACGAACCCATTACTTTCCTACACACAGTAACACAAGTTAATTCACAAGAATTATGAATTATGAGACACTAAATACATGCCAGACACGGTGCTGGATTCTTACAATGGAGAACATCCAACTCCAGTGCTTTGGAAGCCACAATTATGGGGAAGAAAGATGAGGTCTTCCCGACTGTGCTTCACTTCAAGTCAGTTATCTTCGCTTACACTTCAGAGCCAGCTGCTCTGGATGCTCCAACACCAGCAGCATCTGGCCAGGCTGCACGGTTTCTGCCGTCAGCAGCACGCTTGCCTTCGCTGAGCTTCTGTGGCTTTCCTTACGCACAGTTAATGTGGTTTCCATGGCAGTGTGGATAAGGCCCAGAGCCTGTCATCATGGTGCCCCAAGATGAAATTAATCAGGTGTCTGAGTTGCCCATGGCAGCAACACAAATTGGATTGAATTAGACAGAAGAGCAAATGTATTTGCCTAGGTTGCCAGGAAAGGCAAGGGTATAATTAAGGGGCTGGGACCAGGGCTTGATGCTGCCAGGATTTGTTCTGCTTCAATTTCTGCTTCTTTCTGAGTATCAGCTTCATTTTCCTTCCTGCTTTTTCCACCAGGCCTAGCCATGGCTGTGGAAACTCCCAATGCACACACTTAAAGCATCCGGAATAGAAAAAAGGAGGGTTTCTTTTTTAAAATATGTTCTTATTGATTTTTTAGGGAGAGATAGAAACATCTATGTGAGAGAGAAACATCCATGGGCCACCTCCTACATGACCCCTACTGGGGATCAAGCCCGCAACCTGGGCGTGTGCCCTGACCGGGAATTGAACCAGGACCTCTCAGTCCATGGGGCAATCAATGCTCAATCCACTGAGCCACACCGGCCAGACAAAAAAGAGAGGGTTTCATTTTCCCAAACAGAAAATTCCTGGGGAACATCTCTAAGTTGCCTGGTTTGCACCAGCCCATCCTGGTGACCCACCACTCTTTTGACCATATGGGATCTTTCACCACAAAAAGGGGACTAGTTCAAACATGGCCACTTGGAAACCTCTGTGGAAGGCCAGTGACCCAGTCTCTGTATATTGCATAGGCCCTTTACATTCTCTTCTCCACGATCCTTCCCACATGGACTTGAGGAAGAGTCACGTCTCCTCATTTAGTCTAGAGGTGAAACTCCCAGAGCTGAGCTCTCTTACTCAATTACGCTTTTCCTCCATCCCTTGCCAATTATTCCTGACCCTTTTGATATCTATATCCTAGTCTCTATGTCCAAAAATCTCCTATTGCTTTTAAAAAATTTACATCTCCATGTGCATGGGATTGTAAAAGGGCATGAATTAGTCCATTCAAAATGGCTGTGTGAATTTATTTCTGACTGCAGAAAAGATCAATGGGACCTAAAGAAGAATATAACACAACCCTGTATTTTCACAGTCCATAACCTACCTTCATGTGAACCTACTCTTTATGTGATTAAGAAAGAGTCAAAAAAGTTGAGATCAGCTCTAGAAAACTGGATTACTCAAACAGATTCCATATTTGTGGGTCTTATTTACTGTTATCTGTTAATTAATGCACAGATTGCAACTTAGTAAAGTGTCTCCTGTGTTAAGACGTATTTTTTGATTTTTAAGAGTCAAACAAAAATAGATTACTCTATCGCAAACTGAGACATATTCAGTGCTTGAAAAATGCTTTTGACTAAAAATACCCAAATAAGCAAAAATCCTAGGCACTTTTACTAAATTATTGATAATACCTTTTGGTCATCACTTGTCCCACGTGACTCTTGACACAAAACACCTTTCGTGTCTGAATGCCCACACCACATGTAGCTTCTCCATTCCATCCAATGGTTGCATTGAGGGCAGTGATCAGTGTGTCTTCAGAGCAGGGGCCCCAAGGCGATGTCTCCCAATAGAGCTGCATACAGGAATGGTCATTGCATGATCGATATTCTTGGAGGGCCTGACTAGGGGGGCATGGTTTTCCACCTGCAAAAATCAAAATATTAAAAAAAAAAAAAATACAGAGCTGTTGCTATTTTTTATTAACATGTTGCTGCTGTTGTTATTGCTGTTCTTAATTTGTTGGTCTTTCTATTTTATTGGTCTAGAAAAATAACCTTTTTGAGACAGCTTTCCAAAGGTCTGAGCCACTGCACCCTTTCCCACTGTAAGGCCATGCTCTTTTGTCCTGAATAACAATCTGAAGACAACATGTTGCACCATTCTCTAAACAACAGGGAGCAGTACATATTAATTATATTTTAAAACGCTACTTACTGATTCCATTACCCACCTCTGAATCATATATCTCTGAGATGAACTCCAGAGAAATCTTCATTTATTTTAATATTACTATGCCTACATAAATTAGTTACGTAAAATAGCCCATGACCTTGAACTGATATTAGATCAAACATACACATAGACATAGACACACACACACACACACACACACACACACACACACACATTGCCTATATATGGTCTCCCTTTGAGAAGACAGCATTATTTTTATCAGAGTACCATTTTAAGACACCCATCCTCCATCAAGCAGTGCATTTTACTACAATTTGAGAAATCCAGCAGTCTCTCTCAAAGTTTGGCAAGAGAAAGCCCATCCTTGCCCTCTAAAATCATACTTGACAATGTGTTATCCACAAGCTGGGAGAACAGACAGATGTGGATCCTCAACTTGGTGAGTCAGACGATCAAGTTTCAGTTTTGTCTTCTCTTTCACATTTTTATTTCCATGTAAAAACTGGTATTTATCTAAAGCATTCATTTTTTTCCCCATTCTTCCACACTATATTTTATTCCATGCGTCAAATGCTCATGCAGATTTGTGACTTTGGTTTTGTTATTCTATTAAATGTTCCCCATTAAGTACTATGAACTTTTCCCCCTCCTTCCAAAAATATAAAAGACATGAAGGGGAAGCAACTGCACTTTAAGAATATAAATATCTTCATTCATCTTGACCCTGGCCCTTGTCCTCAGAATCACAGAAGAGAATCTTGCTCAGAAAGGAGCTCCCTGCAGCCTGCAGCCACACTGCTTGCTGTTCCCACCGAGCTGTGGGCAGGCAAAGCAAACGGAGGGCCCGAGCAATGACGCATGTCCTCTGGAGACAGCGACGTTGCATGAATGACAGGAACAGCTGCTCCTCTAATTTTCTTTGATGCTATGCGTTGACATTCCCATGGCACATTTTAGCTTCTTCAAAACCATTTTTACAGCCTTCACGCTTTTCCCTCTCACTGCATGACAGCAGAAAATCAGGACACTGGGATCAGGTAGCTCGCCGGTGTGAACAGTTTCCAGTTAAGAAGCTATGTCTCCTGACTCCCAGTTTGGAGCCCTTTCTACCAAGCATATCCCAGCTATGTTCGCAGCTACATGATCTAAAGCTGGATGTGTATCAACCAAACTTTGTTTTCTTCCCTCAGAAAACATAATTTAAAAAAATAACATAGAATGAACTAAAACAATTCATAGAAATACTGGAACTCAGCACAGATAAACTTGAGGATTAAAGAGACCAGGGACACAATGAAAGAAAAGAGTTCATTTGGATTCAAGGAACACAGATATTACCTCTATGTGGCTACTGCCAGGCTATGACCTCCACAATTATCTATGGGAGAACAAGAATTTGACAAGGAACACTGTTGAAACATGTACCATTACTCACCTTCTCCAGCCAATGCCAGGATAGTCCTTGACCTGGTCTGTTTCCCATCCGAGTTTTTGTTTGAACAAGACTGGGAGCAAGATGACCACTCTGTCCACTCGCTCACCACACAATCCATCCTGCAGGGAATTTCACAAGCCATCCGCTCAGGAGGAGGAGCTGCTGGGCAGAGAGTCCCTGATACATCTTCTCCTGTAATCAACCAGATCAAGACAGATGCTGCTTAATGCACACTCGAGGCCAGTCCAAGGAACATTTAGGTTCATTGCTTCCTCTATTGCTTCAGTTCAGCTTAGAAGACTTCACCTCATGTCTAAACCAATAAAGTGCAAAAAATGATGGTTTCTTCAGCCATTCATAATATTTGTGTCAAGAAAAACTGCCAGGACATCATTTGGCATTTAGGAAGGGAGCTACCACAGCAAAACTGGCACTTGTCATTCTTCACAGGGACAAGATGGGCTTCTTCCAGCAACAATTTAGCCATAGATGGCTGGAGACAGACGCGATTGATGCATTATTGACAACCATATGTAACAAGTATATATGTTTTTCTGCAAAATAGGGGTCACAGTAGTCTGTTGGCCTGAAAAAGCATAATTTATGTTGAGCATTCTATTCTACCCTAAAAAAAAGAATTTTACCAATCCAATTTTCTGGTGTGTGCTTTTACTTTCAAATATATAACCTTAAGCAAGATTAGCACATCATTATTCTTTTATTCTATTTGTGCATAATGACAAATAGTCTGAAACCACGATTGAAATGGATCCGTGGCTAAATTATATAATGTGTTGAGATAAAAGTTGAAAGCCAGTCCAAAATTCTTCTAAATGCATTTTCTATCCTCCCTTTGAATGAGCTCATAAGTTACTTATATATATATTTTAATAAATTACTTACATATATTTATATTTAACATATAAATATGTCCCAAAATGTATATAGCGCGTCTGTAGATTCTATTACATTTTGAAAATAAAATGTACTTTAATAAACACTTACTTCATAATTACACTTTTTATGTGTATTCATTTTTTGGAACATCCTGCATTTATAATATAAATATACATATATATTTATAATGGACAGATGTTAAGATATAGGTGATCATTTCTAAGTTACTTTTTCATATCTCAAAAGATTACAATGACTGTTAAAAAGCTCACTTTTAGGTTATTTCTTCCCTATTTTTACAATTAGATATTCTTCTTTACAATTAACAACTCAGCTCTTCCTATTCCTCCATTCGCAGTGACGCCATAACAACAGAGGCATGAACCACACTGATGCCACTTACAGTTTGAAGTGACGACATGAAATACGGAATGGCAATGACAGGAGAGGCTGTTTTGTCTGTGTGTCTTTGTGCCTGTGGAAGGCTGTTGTCATAATCTGACACACAAATACCTGCAAAGGGGGAAATACTTATAAAGTGTCTCCTCTGTGCCAGGCACTGTCCTTGGAGAAAACCCTGAGAGGCAGGTGTGACATCTCTCATATAGATGAGGAGTCAGTGGCTCAGAATGAAAACATGGTCAGGATCACACAGGCCTGAGCTGAGAATCAATTTAAAATTTTCTGACTCCCAAACTTCTGCTCCTCCCATTAACGATGCTGTGCCTAATTCCAAGGAGATGGACATTCCTTTCTTGAGGAAGTAAATAAAACAACCTGGCAGTAAGCAAGACTGCCCGGAGGAGACTGTGCACTGATAATATCTGCATTCTTATTTGTAAATGAGGCCAGGCTCATTGCCCTTGAGGTACAAATAAAACGTTTCAAGCTTATTATGAGAAGTAATAGAGATTCTGGCAGATAATCAAGCTGAAAGACCAGTTCCAATCATTCTCTCTTTAGTCTCGATCTACTTTCAGGTAGAGTCTACACTGTATGGTAGGTACACACACACGCATGCATGCGTGCACACACACACACACACACACACACATACCCCAATACAACTAATGGGTAGTGCTTTTCCAAGTATAGAAGGAGGCAGGCCACACAAAATGCCAAATTACATCTAATCAAAATTCAATTTCCATCTTGTGAATACTATTAACATCATTTGTATACAAAACACTTTAAAGTAGTATCTTGAAAAGAACATTTTGAGGAATAAAAAAATTAAAGGGGGGCGGTCAGAGAGAGACTGGATTAAATCAGTAAAATGGTCTTATTACTAAAGAATTCCTCAGAGTTTTGAAAACACCAGTATGTAGTGTAAATTTCCCTGGGTGGAAAGGGTGGGTAGTGTTTTTCAACCTTATTTGACCAATGGCCATCCCTTATTAACATCTGTCCCAGAAACAGTATTTCTATGAATATGTTTTGAGAAAACTCTGCCTTCAAGAGTTATACAATTATCAACTATTGGATGAGCACATAGTATGTCCACAGCATATGATGGTATATAAATAGGTGAAAAGAACTATTATTTACCCCCCTTGAACGCATAGAGATGAGCTATAAACACATGAGAATAAAACCATCTCCAAAAGTAAACGCCAAGCCCAGACCAGTGTGGCCCAGTTGGTTAGGTATTGTCCCATGCGCCTCAAGGTTGTGAGTTTGATTCTGGTCAGGTTGCAGGCCTGATTCCCTGTGGGGGTGGGCAGGAGGCAGCTGACCGATGTATGGCCTCTCTCGCCTTCTCCCTTCCTCTCTCTCAAAACATCAATTTTAAAAGTCTTAAAAAAAAAAAAAGTAAAAGCCAATCTGCAAATGTGTGTTTTGAAGAGGAAACACCACAGCAGTTCAGGGAAGAGAAGGACCTCTGGGATTCAGCATGACAGCTGAAGGCTTTCAGCAGGGAGGAAAAAAAAGGCTGAGGATTGGTGGCAACGAGGGCAGGTATTTCAGGCGTCAAAGTGTCAACAAAGGGATAATAGGAGAAAAATACAAGGTATTTGGAAGACAGTTCATGCTGCAGCTCCATGAGGAAAAGACAATGCCCGTGTTGGGAGAGTTATTGGATATCAAATTCTGAATGACTGAGACTGACACACAGTTGTTTTATATTTCTTCCTTCCTTGAATTCCCAGCTGCTTAGATTTCCCATTACCCAAATTTAACATTCTCCCTAGTCACCAATCAGCAACTTTAGTAATCACTTTGGGTGCGTGGATGTGTTTTAAAGTCTAAGCTTTCATACAAATTGATACACACATTTCCTCAGTGCAATTAAATGTCAACACTCCATCAACATTTTGATAGCTTGTCTATACATGCTAATGCATAAATAAGATCAAAGAGAAGAGCCTTTCTTTAGAGGGAACCAAACTATAGTCATAAGCACACTCTGAAATAAATATGTGAGCTGTTTTATATAAAATCTTATAAAAGCAACAATAGCGGTACAACGAACAGGATCCTAGTCACAGTGTCCTGGTCTGACACAGTTAAGTATCGAAAGGGGAATCTGAGCACTTCTCCTCTTGAGTGTATCATTTAACATCTTTGAACCTCAGTTATCTCATCTGTGATAATGAAGTAATGTTTACCTTTCAGGGACATTCTAAGGATTGGGAATCATTCATGCCACATGCATGTCAAGGTGTCCAACAGATAGCAGATTCTCAATGTATAGGAACCTTAAAAATGTCCTTTGCAAAGATGTATACTACAAAAACCCAATGGCCTTATTCATCTGAAAATTTGAGACATCTATGCCATAGCCATGGAAAGCACTTGTTTTGCCATTCATATATACGCACAAATAAACACCAACAGCTTCGCAGGCTGGTCCACACAAAACATCAAAACGAATTCTCATTTTACATATTATTTCATTTGTATGGTCAGCTCATCGAAATTACTGAAAGCCAAAAATAAAGCACGTGTGCCTGAAATAACCTCACCTGTCAATCTACAGTGGTATAATTATCTTCCCATTTCCCAGCGAGAACCCTGCTTTCATGTTCTTGCAGGGATCAATGAGACCAGCTGAAATCTCAAGCAAGCATGGAAAATAAAGCAGCACATGGCACAGAAACATAGCCATTAAAAATAATTTTCACCAGCTCTGATAATTTAATATAACAATAAAAGAGAATATATTTAAGAGGGAAATTTAATTCATCTTTCAAGAAATCTATAAAATGACTCCCAGCCCTCATCAGCCTCCCTGGGATCAATAATGACAAACTACACTCTCTCCTCATAATGTAGACTTATTTAAACCATTTGCGATTCTGAGAACATGAGATATGATGCTGCTTCAACCTTGTCATTCAGTATTTTTTTTTTTAAATAATTTAATATGGTGAAACTCACATTACACAAAATGAACCATTCTAGAGTAAACACTTCAGTGACATTTAGTAAATCACAGCATTGGGCAACCACCACCTCTATGCAGTTTCAAAACATTTTCATTGCTCTAAAGTAAAACCCTTTACCCATTAAGCACTTTCTCCCCCTGACCCCACTCTCCTCAGTCCTTGGCAACCACCGATTTATGTTCTGCCTCTCTGGATTCAATTATTCTGAATATTTCATGTCAATGGAATCATACAAAAGAAGCCAGTTTTGTGCTGGCTTCTTTTACTTAGCATAATGTTTTAGAGATTCACCTACATTATAGCATATATCACTACTCATTCCATTTTATGATAAAATAATATCCCATTATATGTGAATACCACAATTTTTTTATCCAATCATCTGTTGATGAACATCTTTTGGCTACTGTGAATAGTGCCACTGTGAACACATTTATACATGTACATGTTTGAGTACATGTTTTCAATGTTTTTTGTATATATATCTAGGAATAAAATTCTGTGGTCATATCCATCACTAATTATATTTTATTTTATTTTATTTTTTTGTGATTCTGGGAACTGCGGCATAAATGGCCGATGACTAGATATGGGTCAGAGTTTATGCTCCTGTTCTCATGCCTGAGTATTCCTAGATAAATCCATGGTACTTAGATGAGAGAAAGCTTCTTGGACATAATAGTATACTCAAAATTCACTAAATTTTTTTCCAGTTAAAATGTACATTCTTTTTAAGTATAAATACCTCATGGCAAACATACCTCTGTAACTACTGGTCAAGTCAACCACGCAAATTTAACACTAACATAGCTATCATAGTTTGGGCTTTCTACATCAAGCTAGTGTTTACACCATACATATGTTATATACTACATTTTATGGCATTTGTTGTTTTGTGACTTCTGG